TTAAAGTTATGTCAGAGTTAGCCAGATAAAGAGAAAATGTATTCCAGGCAGAGGAGATGTTCATGTGTGTAAATGTGGAGACAAAAGTCACAAGCATAGAGGTTCAGAGTATTGCAGGCAGCTCTGTAGGACTGGAATGTGGAGTATCCGACCATAAGTGGCAAGAGCTGAGGCTAGACAGGGGGCAGGGACCAGATCATCTAGGGCTTTTTAAAATATACTAAGGGGCTTGGACTCTATCCTGTGAGCAACAGGGAAGGGTAGAACAGTTTTAACTAGGGAAATGACATGATTTGTTTGCATTTTAAAAGGTCACTCTGAAGCAGCAAGGAAACCAGGTCACAAGCTATTGTAGTGGTACAAGAAAGAGATGATGGAACTTGGATCAGACATAGTTCCTGTCCTCAAAGAGCTCACAGGCAGACATACTTTTCAGTCAGATTAGGTATACAGTAACAAGCACTGACATGACAGCGCAAGCATGAAGCTGTTTGAGAAGAAGGAGGGGTTTACTTTAAGCATGAGAAGAAATCATGAAAAGTTTAAGAGAATCATATCTCTTCTCTCTCATTCAACAACTGCTTTTAAAGATGGGGAAATTAAGGCACAGTGAAGAGCTGCTACTTGTTCATGGTCACAGAATATGTTTACATCAGAATCACTTAGAAATCCTGCTTCTGCTTTCTATGCTCCATTCTAATGGATCAGTGCAAGTCCATAAAGCCACTTTAGGCACAAAATATAATTAGGACAGTTATGGAACTAGTATTTGTGGTCTTTGGCATTTCCAAAAAAGCACTGAATATGTGTAATGAAGAAGACAAAGAACTAAGACTTCAAACTCAGACCATATTCTGGTAAATTTCCTTGACCTTTTTCTACTCTAGGCAGAATCTAGACTCCCAGAATAGGAAGGGTTCTTAGAAACTAAATGACCCTTTAACATTGTTTTCAAGGTACTAGCCAATGCAGTTAGACAAGAAAAAGAAATCAGAAGCATAAAAATTGAAAAAGAGAAGATAAAACTACTATGTATAGGTGATATGATTACAAACCTGGAAAACACTGTTGCCTTTATTCACCTCAGGCATCCCCACCTCCTTGCTATTCCTCAAACTTGCCAAGTGCATGTGATTTTTGCATTTACTTCTCCTTCAACCTGGAAGGCTGTTCCACCTGATATCCTCAAGACTAACTCTCCTACTCCATTCAAGTCTCTATTTTTCCAGAACCTCTGTTACTTTCTATTCCCTTACTATACTTTGTCTCCACAGCATTTTACCTCCTGACACCTGGTATATTTATTAATTGATTGATTTTCTTTCTCTCCCATAGAATGTAAACTCTTTGAGATGAGGAGATTTCTATTGTGTTCATTGCTATATCCCTAATGCCAGAATATGCCCTGGTGCATATTCCCAGTGTCTAGAACACTGTCTGACACATAGTAGGTACTCAGTGATTATTTGTTGAATAAGTAAACAAATGAAAATTTAAGAAAGTAAAACGAGAAATTATTACAAGCAATTATTGAATTAGTGAAGTGTCTGGGTACAAATGTAATATGTTGAAAACAAGAGCCTTTATATTTATGAAGAACCACCAGTTAAAAGATTTAATGGAAGAAAAAAATCTCATTTACAACAGCAACTAAATATATAAGCTACCTTGATATTAAAAAGAAATGTCTATCTGAAGGAAAAAAAAAACTTTTAAAACTTCATGCTATATACAAAAGAAAACTGAATAAATGGAAAATCCAAACATATTCTTAGATTGAAAGGCTCAAAGTTGTGAAAGTCCATTTTTCCTGCATTAGTAATGATTATATTACAAATATTGAGAATATTGACAGGATATGGGGGAGCAAGAAAACTAAAGCTAATTATAAACATCACATAGAAAAATATGCAAGAAATTACAGGGAAATTTGGGAAAATAATGAGGTGATACTAGCCCTCCAAATAGTAAAAAACATTATAAACTTAACATAATTAAAATTGTGTAGTCCTGACAGATGAAAAGATAAATAATTAGAATCGAATAGAAAATCTAACAGTCAACCCAAATACATACAACAAATTTATATGGCAAAGATGATTTTTCAAGTCTGCGGGGAGAAGATACCAATTTGATAAATGGTGTGGGACAATAAAGTTTAATCTTTGCCTTACACCCTACACCCATGTAAATTAAAATTGAAATGAAATATTTAAATACAAAAAAATGAAACAATAGAAGTAGTAGAATAAACAATGAAAGAATTCAACCCAGAGACCACAAAAGACTGATAAATCTGTCTAAAAAATTAGCATTAAAAAATTTCTTCATGGATAAAAAAACTAGTAGACAAAGTCAAAAAACAGGTGACAAACTGAACAAAAATATCTCTGTACTACAAAAAAGGGCAAATTTCTCTAATTTATAGTTTCTATAAATCAGTAAGGAATAAAGTCCCAAAACCCAGTTTTAAAAATGGGCAAAGGAAATGAACAATTCATAGAAAATAATATGTAAATCATTCCTAAACATGTGAAAAAAATACTATATAATAAAAGGTAATTATATTAAAAGAAATTCAGGTTAAAACTCATCTTAGGTATCATTTTTCACCCATCAAATTGGCAAATACCAAAAAGTCTGGTTACACTCATGTTTTCAAGGTAATCATGAAAGAGATGCTGTAATACATTGCTAGGAATGTAAATTGGTCCTTCTAAGGAGGTCAGTCTGTCAGTATTGATTAGAATTGCACATACATAGAGGACCTAAGAATTCTACTTCTGGGAATTTGTCCTACATGTAATTATACATGTGTGAAATAGTGTAATCAGGGCCAATCACTAAGACTCGGTTTGTAACAGAAAAGATTGGAAATAAATGTCTGTCAATAGGGGACTGGTTAAATAGTTTATATATGGCTGTCAAAAAAATGAGGTAACGACAAACTGAGAAATAATTAAATCTGTTAAGAGGATAAAAAGCTGATCCAAATAATGTGTTTTTAGCATGCTGCAAAAATGTGCATGTTGGGGCAAAGGGGGCTGGGGAAGGAATATTTACTCATTTGTGCATAAACTGTCTTGGAAGGATGTATGAGGACCTAAGAACGTGGGTTGCCTCTGGGGAGTGAGACTGGGTGCCTGGAGAACAGGAGTGGAAGGGAGATTTTTCACTGTCAATTCTTTCCTATCTTTTTGACTTTCGAACCATGTAAATCAATCATATGATTCACTTTCTGGTTATTGAAGGTAAAATCACATTAGGTGCCAGGTGTCAGGATGGGGCAGTGGAAGCCATTCCAGAATGGTTTTCAGAGGAGCCAGGTTCTCATTCTTGCTCCTCCCCTAGCTTGCTGCCCAGCTTTAGCAAGCAGCTTCCTGGCTCAGAGCTGCTCTGGGAAAGGTCAGAGAAACTGGTTTCCAAGGCTCTCTCCAGCTCCCACGCCCAGAGATATAAACTGCAGTTTTTCCTTACACATTTCCTAAGTCATCCCTTTACCACCTCCCTTCCTCTGCAGCTCATCAAAAGCTCAGAGGAAAAGACAGACAATTGAAGAAAATAAAATTGCAAAGATGACTTTTATAGGGCTCCTGTTGAATCACTGTGTATTCCACCTCCAAAGCTGAAAATGGTGAGTTTAATATCACACAGAGCAGTGCATCTTGTATCTCTCCGAAGGCAGCTTATGCTACCCAGACAACTGGGATCTCGGCAAGATGAGATTTTTCACTCCAGCTCTGAGGCAAATGAAATGACAGTCATCAGGCCCACATTCTAGAAGCAACATGGTTTTCATTTGGTGTTAACTTCGTTTGAAAGGGTCCCACGGAGGAGAATTCAAAGCGTAGGCTTTTCTTCTTTCCCAGGACTACACACTTGAAAGCAGATGGAAAGGTGGCTAAGTTTTGCCTTGACTGTATCTAATGTTGGCCATTGATGGTGATACGTTAACCGTGCAAGGGGTCAGGAGACCTGGGTTTCAGTCCCACTAGGGGCCCCTGTTACTCTCAGAAAGCATTAATAGATATAAATTGGGCTGATATATGGGAAGAGAAAGTCAGATTTGAGGGACAGTGACATTCCAAGGGCCTGAAAATTCCCAATTCCTGCCAGTCCATTATGGTGTTTGGTGTAATCCCTCTGGGTCATTTATTCAGTCATTCTGCATCCAGCTACTGAGCATCCTTCACAGAAGTGTGGGGCTCTTCACGGACAATCCCCCTACTTTCAAGGAGCCTATAGATGAGAAGGTTAATAAATAATACCGCATCTGGCTAGGGAGTGTCTTAACACGTGTGTGCAGAGAACAGAGAAGGACTAGTCACAATCATCTGTGCAGATTACAAGGTTATTTTTTTCCATATACTATTTTTATATGATTGGGAAGTAGGTGTGGCAACATGAAAAGAGGTTAAATAAAAGAATGAGCAAAGGTGTCATATACACAGCTCCCAGAATGGTATCCGTCATGCATCTACTACGCGGTGAACAGTAGTAATTACTATTGCCGAGGCTGGAATTAAAATACCCATTTTTTTCAAATAAAAATTTTAAAGTGAGTACACGGTCTACCCCAGACTCCCCAGCTGGATGTGGCCTAAGTGCAGCAAAACCTTAGCTGGCCCAGTGTAAATACAACGGTGTTACCTGAAAGCATTTCTCACTAATCAGAGAAACACATTCTGCTAATGCCTTTAGTCTTTAATGTATTAACTGTTCTAAGTAACATCACTTCTTCAGCAGACCTCTTAAGAGGGCTGCGAATGGCCCTGCTCTTAGAGCTCTTAGACCCTGAAGGCAGATGGTGTTAGAAGTAAGGTCTCAACCCCTCCAATCCCATTGCGAACAGTCGCTAAATCTGAGGACCCACAGGGCTAGCTCAAAAGGAAATGTGTGCGTGTGTCTGTGTCTGTGTCTGTGTGTGTCTGTGTGTGCACGCATATTTAAGACAAACTCTGTGGCCCCGACTTCTCACTTGTTGTCCTTGCTCTCAACAGAAAACAAGCCTGGAGTTTTACATTGACATCCACGCCCACTCCACCATGATGAACGGCTTCATGTACGGCAACATCTTTGAGGATGAGGAGCGGTTCCAGAGACAGGCCGTCTTCCCCAAGCTCCTCTGCCAGAATGCCGAGGACTTCTCCTACGTGAGTCGAGTTCTCCGTCAGCCAGCCCCAGCAGCCCCCACCCTCTGTCCGCAACCCGGCTCTCTCCCTCCCATCGCCTCCCTGTCTTTCTCCTCACTTGGCCCAGCTTGGTTTAACATCCACGAAGCACCTACCCTGAGCCGGGTCTCGCGTGGGTGATAAAGGTGGAGACGACAAGCTGAGCCCGTGCCTGCAAGCAGCCCATCGCCCATCGAGGGGGAGACTCTTTGAAAAGATAGTGCTTGGTTTGTCTGCGGAGCTGGCATTCGTTTAGTTGATCTGACTCCAGCGTTAACAAGGGAAGAAGCTCTCTGAGCACCTCCCAGCGCCAGGCCCCCGAGGGTCTGCTTTCAGGGACCTCTGACCTTCGTTCTTTCAGTAGGAGCCTAACATGCCTGCTGGAGGGGGTCATCGCCCACCATTCTCCTCCTCCATCGCCCTTTCCAGGCCTCAATTTCTTTGTCAGTCATTTGTGGGTGGTTATTTTCTGCCTTGCCTGTGCGTAACTTCCTGGGAGGGTGAATGCAGTAATAGATATGAAAGTACTCTGCAGGCAGTAAAGGCCTCAGCAGACTTGAGAGACTGCTGTCGCTACCCCTCACACTCCTAGACGGGTTGGAGAGGCTGCGGCCTGGCCGTTAGAATACTTTGCAGCAAAAAGTAATGTTGGAAAAGGGCGGGGAAGACAGGGAGGGGAATCAGCCTGTGGTACTGGGACATGGGGAAGGCTTTTTGTGCATTTTCCCTTGTTTGGAGTCGAAATCTCTGAGGCCTGTTATTTCCATGTGGCCAGAGGAGGAGAGGCCCACGAAGGTCAGAGCAATTTTTGAAGTTGATGAGCTGCAAACTTGCCCGCCCGTGGCTTCAGGCCTGGACGTGAGTAGAGATGATGGATTTTTCCATGAGGTAAAATGTACTCTGAATGCTAGAACCTTTGAATGCCAAACCAGGAAAGGTACTGGGAGATTATTTAGCCCAATCTACTCTTTAGACCAAGGAGACACTTATGGCCCAGAGAAGTTGAGTATTGAGAGCAAGGTCACTCAGCATCTGAAGCAGGTAGAACGATTTGGCTCCTCATTTGCTGCTCGGGGATAAACACTTGTTTCTGTTGGAGTCTCTGTAGGATGACCAGCCCTTGTCGTTTTGAAACCACTCTGATTTCAGAGCAGACTGTGGTCCCCTTGGGGAGAGCCTGGGAGACTGGTTCTCCAGGGCTGGGCCACAGGCCACAGAGACCCCCAAGAGTGAGGTTTCCTACAAAAGGGGCACAGCCTGGGAGCTTTATTTCTGGCCTTGCCTGATGCTAGTCCAGCACTGCAGCCTCCATAAGAGCTCAGGGCTGGGGTCAAGGTCATCTGTCCTAGTCTAACCTGTCTCCCTTCGTCTCTGGTCCTCAGTACCCAACTCTAGAATGAAGGAGCTGGATTTCATTACATGGACTTCAATGGTCCTTTCGGATCTGACACTCTGATCTTCTGGTCCTTTCCTCTACCTCAAATTCACACACACACACACACACACACAAACACACACACACAGAGCTCTTTCTTTCAGTGTCTCTCTATATATCTGGCTTGTTTCGCTGTTTTCTTTCTCCCCCTTCCTCTCCCTCTTTTCCTTCTTGTCTTATGTCCTGCTGAACAGGACATGCCTTCTCTTATTGAAACCAGGCTCTTTGTTTACTTAGATCTCCGCGAGTTAGCACAGGAAGCCCTTTTAACCTCAAGTGAACTGCCCCCCAACAATCTGTGAAAGAGATGTAACTATTATCTCCACTTTACAGATGAGAAAACAGGCTAAGACAAATAAGGCAAGTTGGCTAACATCTCACGTATTTTTGAGATGCTGAGCTGCTGGCTCTTTCTGTAACTACTGCGATGGGTGTAGTTGAGTCCCCGGGGAAGAAGCAGCCAAGATGCTGAACATGAGTTCAGCCGTCCCTCAGGGAGGAGGGGCTTTGTGTGCTGGAATCTTGGGGTGTCTGGTGTCTCTTAGTCCTGGTCCAGATCTGTGCGTATCCCTTTCTGTGAGCCTCCATCTCCACGCTTTAGGGGGGCAGCATTATGATACCTACATCAAGGCGTTATTGTGAGGCCTAAATGAGATACTACACAGGAAACAATATTATAAACTCAAAAACGGTGCCCAAATTTCAGTCCTGATCGTCGTTATAACACAATTGCTGCTTATCTTCTGTCTGCTTTTCCTTATCTGTCCCCATTCAAACTGCCACAAACATTTGTCAAGTGGTAGTTACTGTGCCCTCAGAACTGTGCCGGACGCTTTCGTTTACTTGTTCGTTTGTTCAGTCAGTCCTTATAATCATCATGTGATGTGGGATTCATGTCCCACTTTTGAGATGAGGAAGCTGAGACCCAGAGGTGCTGTAAGACTTGCTCGAGGTCCCGTAGCCAGCAGGCGCCCAGCCCTGATTCTCTCCTCCCTTCTTTGTCTTTCACAGTCCAGCACGTCCTTTAACAGGGATGCTGTGAAGGCAGGAACTGGCCGTCGCTTCCTGGGTGGGCTGCTGGACCACACCTCCTACTGCTACACCCTGGAGGTTTCCTTCTACAGCTACATCATCGGTGGCACCACGGCTGCTGTGCCCTACACAGAGGAAGCCTGTATCCTTGGCAGGTCCCCCACCCCCACCACCCAGCCCGCGTCCAGCCAAGCGTACCCAGCTCCACGAGGATTTACTAGGCACATCAGGAATTTGATCTCCCGCACAGGTGAGGCTGAGCGTCTGGGGTGAGGATGAACATGGCTGGTTCTGCTGGTGTTGTCTTTGGATTGTCCTGTTTGCCCCCCACCCTCCTAGAGGACATCCCCCTCCCATATCTGCCTCTGCTATGTCTCAGGTCTCCCTCAGGCACCTGGACCCCTGGCCTACCTGTCCCTTGTGCTGCTCCCATCTCTCTCTCCCCTCCACCCCCTCATGAGGGAGTGAGCCTCCCGTCATGTGAGGTATGTAAGTACAGGGTCAGATGACCATCCCTGGGGCTGCTGAGAAAGACCGTGATGGTCTTGACTCCTCCTTCTCACCCTGGACACATTTCTGTGTTCTTGCTCCCTCATTTCCTCTTCCCTTGGCTCGCTGTTTTTCCTTTGCTTGTTTGCTCCCCTCTTGTCCCCCATCTTTCTGACTCTCCCTTCAGTCCTGTCTTGTGTTTTCCTCTCCTTACTTCATGGTATGTGTTCTTCCCCCTCCTGCTCTCTGTCTTCCCTCCTCTTCCCACCCTCCTTTCCTTTCTCTCTCCTCAGCCTCCCTCTCATCCTCTCTGCATCTTTCTCTCTGCCTTTGTGTTCCCTCTGCCAATTTACTTTTCCTCTTGGCTTCCTCAGAAAGTGTCCCTGAAAACCCCAAGCCTGTCATGATGAAATTAGAGGTCACTTCCTAGCTTGCTTGATTTTTTAGGGATTGTTTAGTAATTCTTGTTTCCTGAGTGTTGATTTTCACTTCAAGGCCACTACATGAGGGTTGTGACAGATTGTGATAGTTTCTGCTTTTCTTTACCCTTTTGTTTTTTGTGTTGACCTGCTTCTCCTTTCTGAACACTTGGTTTTCTCAGAGAAAGAATTATGGTTGATGGAGAAGAAAGGAAAAAGATGATATTAGCTCCTTCTCTATACAAACTCTCTCTCCTCGGATGTAGAGGGGTCTTGCAACCTTTTTCAACCCTTGGGGAGTGTTTAAAGAGTTCTTACCACACTCTGTGCGGGAAAACTTCTTTCGTGGTTGCGACATGACTTAGCACTAGTCCACAGAGTCAGTTGCACCCTAGTGGCCCTTGAGGGTCCAGTGACCTAGCTGGGAACATGGGGGCAGGGTGCTGGCTGTAGGTAGACCAGGTGTCAGACCACTGTTCCAGATCTAGTAGAACACCAGAGAGATCGTGATAAGAACTAAGAGAGTCCCATCCCTATAGTCACCAAGACGGGGACAGTCATCTTGAATTCTGCTTCAGTAACTCCCTGGCTCCCAAGGCCAAGGGCGTAGGCTCTGCCCTGAGGCAGAGGACCCTTGGTTTCCAGAGACCTGGCCACCTCTATGCGCCACACTGCCCCGCTGCGTGCGCACACGCACACGCGCGCACACACATGTGCTAGATGATGCGTTGTCTGTGACTTCTCCAGGATCCACTCACTCCTGTGATCCACACATAGATCACAGTCCACACTGCCCCTGCTTAGCTGTCCCCTGATACCATGGCAAAGGAGAGAGAGAGTTGCCTGGAAGAAGAGTTTGAGCGTGTGCGCCAAAGGGATTCCACACGTGACTTGTCACGTTGAGACGAGGGTCCCTCCAGAGGTGGCCTGCAGTAGTTTGTGGCTAATGATTCTGATGCAAATTTGAGTGGTCCTCCTGCCCTATCTCAGCACCTCCAACATGCTCTGTGTGGAAAGCAGATGTGTTTCTTGGTAAAATGCCCCTTCGTTGGCCCGGGCGCAGGTTTCCTCCCCGCAACACCCAATCCTCATTCATCAAAAGTAAAGACACCATTAGCACATGCCAAGAATCCTGCTAGGCACTGGGGTGAAACACTGAACAGGAAGGCACGGTCTCTGACGAACAGAGCTTTCAGTCTACTTGGGGAGACAGAAAAGGAAAGAGGCGGTTGTAATCTGCGTGGCAAGTTCTGTGGTGGAGGAATTCCAGAGAGCCATGGGAAACTTTCACTTAAAAAACATGTGGAATGTCTGCCACAAGCCAGGTGAAGGTCCAGGCACAGGGGGCGTAGCAGTGAACGTACTGAAGACAAAAATGTCTGCACGGGGGAATAGGCAGAGACTCACTCACAGCTTCAGGAAGTCAGGGAAGGCCTCCCAGTGGAAGTGACATCCAAGCTAAGTCTTTAAGATTGAGTAGAAATTAGATTGCTTGGGGTAGGTTGTCTGAGGGAGGGCACTGCAGACAGAGAAGGGAGGAAGCAGGTGGGCGGTAGGAGCTGTCAGGGGTCCGGTGTGGCTAGAGGACTTCAGGTGAAGGAGATGAGACCAAAATGGCAGCCTGTTAGGAACTGGAACTGGAAGGAACATGAAGGCCATGGAGAGCAGTAGAAAGGTTTTAAATCACGTTGGAAGCCCCTCTGGCTGCAGTGGGATGGAGAGATGGGAGGGGCCACGACTGCAGGCAGAGACGTGCTAGGAGGCTGTTATGACAATCCAAATGGAGGATGATTCAGGCCTAGACTGGGTGGTGCTGTGGAATATTTAGAATGTGGCACTGAGAAGACGTGGTACGTGGTCGGATGGGGGTGTCGGTGGGGACCAGGAGCGAGTGATTGGCAGGAGTTCAGGGCGGTCAGTAGCGAGGCTGTCTGCGAGCTGAGCAGACTGCCGTGCTGTTGCAGCCGCCCTGTCTTGTTCTGCCATCCAGGGAACAAGAAGAGAAACCTGGAGTTTCTCCAGGGAAGTTCGGCCGAATTCAAAACGCATGAGGGTGATTTAACCTGGTTCTTATTTGAAATTCATTTTTTAAAAAAATCTCATAACAGAGGGAGACTTCAGGCAGATAGACTGTGATCTTTATTGGCTGCTGGCTCCATGTCCCAATCAGAAAAAGAAATGACATGGCCTGATGGGAATGGCAATATGGTCTGGGAGGAAATGTCCTCTAGACTGGGAGTCAGGAGACTGGCATCTGACGACAGGGCCAGCATCGTCCCGGACAGCGCCCTTCAGCAAGTCCTCTCACCTCCCCCAGGTGAGCTTCGTCACCTTCACAGAGGCATCAAGAACCTTCCAGCTTTCCCAACCCCTGCTGTGGGAATTGAATAGAGGTACTCTTGAAAAAGGACGATGTTATGCAGAGAGGGCTGACTTTTGATTCAAACAAATCTGGGTTTGAATCCTGGCTCAGCCACTTACTGAGTGTGTCACCCTAGGCAAGATACATAATGTCACTGTGCTCGTGTCCTCATCTGTAACAGGAGGATCTACTAGCACCTAACCTTACTGAGGTTAAATGAAATCGTGTATATGAGTGTGCACCATAAAATTTAAATATTAAGTGACTACTGGTTAAAACAGCAAAAAGGTTTCTATGACTATGAGTGAGGACCTGTGTTTATGTTAAAGAAGGCAGCTAGGGCTGTTAGAGCAAGAGGCCAGTAGCTGCGTCGGGCGGGTTCATGGGGCACAGGGCCTTGTGGGGTCACCGCAATTGAGGACCTTGACCTCAGAACACCAGCTGGTTCACACGCTGAGTGAGTGTGTGCAGTTCCCACGTGAGGTTTTGTGTGTATGTGTTGGTCATCCAGAACAGCCCCTCCCCAGCATCAGGGTCCACAGAGGCCAGAGTAGTTACGTAGAGGATGCCGGGTGAGCGTACGAGCAGGGCAGGCCTGGGGGAGGCGGGGAGTCCTGAGGGACCTGTCACCCAGGCCCACGGTAGTGTCCACCTCCACACCCTCCAGAAGATATGCACCTGCCAGTTTAATTCTTCGCCCTGGAAAAGCACCAGCTGAACATTACCAGAGTCTTGCTCTCTGACCCTCCTCCTGCAGGACATCAGGGCCCAGTCACTGATGCTTGCCACTGACCTTGGGCTGGTTGTCTCACCACGCTGAGCCTGTTTCCCCATTTGTAGAATAAAAATAATAATGGGGGAGTGAAATGGTGCAGTATATCTCCAGTCCTCTGGCAGTGTCTGACACATGAAAGTTACTCAACGAATGTTCCTCCGTCCCCACTTTTCTGAGCCCCAGGCAGGCTGCGTGACTTTCCTTCTACTGGTTGATTCTTCAACCCAATGATCTGTCTTTGAAGCCAGAGACTGAGGGTCATCATCATTACTGGGAAGCCTCAAGCAGGCCTATCCCTGCTCTTAGGCTCAGTGTCTTCCTGCCTGTCAGAGCTGCGGAATGAAATTAGGCGTGGACTTGTCTCTGTTCTGGTCCCTTCCAGCTCTGATATTCTAAGATTATTCTAAAAGTTTATAATTCCATGCTTTGGTGAATTTATGATACCAAGAACCCACAGTTGTGTCATGTGTGAGTCCTAAGATTGAGTGATTCTGTGAGCAGAAGAGTTTCCATGTAATGGGAAAATCAGTACAAAAGTGTCCTAGACAGCTGAAAGCCACGCCAGTAGCTGCTTGTATTCTTTCAGACAGAGGGTTCTTAATTGAGAGGTTTATGGATGGGCTTCTAGAAGAGCCTATGAACTGTCTAAAATTTATGCAAAACTGTGAGTAAACGTGCAGAGTTCCTTAACTGGGAGGAAGACTAATAACCCTCAACAGTCTTGGAGGAAGCCATCCTCAGGGGCCGCTGCCCTGGCTGGTGGTCTCTGTTCCGGCCGTGGCAAGAGTGCAGTTCTGGGTCAGACTCGGGGGTCTGAGCTCTGCTTTGCGTCATCCTAACCCAGTTCTTTAACCACTCTGAACCTCAGTTTCTTCATCTGGAAAGTGAGGATAATGATTATCTCCTTTACAGGGTTGTTTTGAGAGTAACATGGAGAAAGTGCATAAGTCAGTGGGCACATACTCAGTGCCAGTAAATATTAGTTCCCTGGCCTTTCCTTCCTGTGGTTTGTTGTTTTTGTTGTTGTGAAATGATAAATTCCTGAGAATTTTGGATCATTCTTCTGCAAACCTTATTTACATTTTACTGGCCTGCCA